GGGGAAACTCTCGCTTTAAACCCTTAAAATGAGAAAAAAGTGGGAGTTTTCTTTGATTTAAACATTAAAATTAGGGAAAAGGGTGAGGTTACCTCAAATTCAAGCAATAAAATGGCAAATAAATGGGTTCACCCTCCAATTTAAGCCCCTAAAATATTGGAGAAAGAGGGTTTTCCCTCATTTTAATTCCCTCAAATGATGGAAAAAGGGGGATTTCCCTTCTACTTAAACCCTTCTATGTAAGGGACAACAGAGATTCACCCTCAGTTTAAACCTTAAGGTAGGAAAATGGGGGATTTGCCCTCAGTTCAAACCCATAAATGTTTTCCCCTTCCATTCAAACCAGAAATAAGTGGTACATAGGAATTCCTGTCCATTTAAACTCCTAAAATCATGGAAAAGGTAGATTTTCCTTCATTTGGGACACTTAAAATCTCCAGTGAAGGGGGATGCCCCAAAATTTAAACACAGAAAATAACAAAAAAGGAGATTTTCCACCAATTTAAACCCCTTTTCCCCTCGCCCCTCCCCCTCTTCTTTTTTTTTTCCAGGGGTCAGTGGGAGGCTCTTGGGAAGAATTGGGAAAATTAAATCAAAAGGGGAAAGGAAAAAGACCTTCCCTGCATGCCCGCTCTGCCTCACCTGCAGAAAGCACCCAACACCTACAAGGAGCAGCAGGACAGTTATCCTCAAATTGATGCTCCCTCTTTGCCACAAGACAGAATCAGACCCAGAACAGGGGAAAAAAAGACTCCATTATTTTTTACAATTTAAGTTTCTGAAGCTCTTATTGGTAAAATATTTTGAATATTCTCAAATATTCCGTTGACAGCAGTTTCCATCCCTTCCTGGTGCTGAGCAGCTGGTGCCTTTCATCCCAAGCAAGGGGTGCTGGTCCCTCCCCTGTGCTGCCCCTCGACACAGAGCTCATTCCTCGACACCTTCCTCCAGCAAAGCTCCATCCAGGAGCATCCAGGTGCTCCCTCAGCCTCTGCGGGGTGATCTCACCATTGTTCCTGGAGAGACCCCCCCAGGATCACACCAATTTGTGAAAACTGTTGTTACAAACCCAGAAATGTGTGCAGTGTTAATCGATCAAGGACACGCCCGTCGCAGAGTTTTAACAGGAATGGACCCTGCAGCTGTTGCATTACCTACCACCTCAAATATGTTAAAGCAATTGTATTGTTATTCTGATGATTTTCAGTGTGCTGTTGCAGGTTTTTCAGGACAAATTGTTCATCATGTACCGAAGCATAAACTGTTGCATTTAGATTTTCAGATCCAACAGCCCTGTACCACTCCAAGCTCAAACGGTTTTCACAGACGGCTCTGGGAAAACAGGAAAAGCTGCCATCGTGTGGAAAGAAAATAACAAATGGTGTTCTGAAGTACTCCACTGTGGTGGTTTGAAAAACCTTTTCTCTGAGGTAGTACTGGTTTGCCCCACTGATAATACTGGACCAATCAATAGTCCACGTGCGCCCTATGGAAATTACATACCCACAGAAACGGAAGAGAAAATGGTTGTGTTTTGTCTGAAAACTCTCCATATGAAGTGAAAAAGATATCAAATCCATACCATCACTAAACCATCTAACAGGGGCAAACTGTGGGAGGGGAGCTTGAACTTAGAAATTAGATTCTTGAGAGTTTCAAACCACCACAAATGGATCACCTCAGATTGTTGAACTGCAGTTCAATTGCTGCAGTTTGGGTTTTTGAAACATGTTCTACTTGTCCAGTAAATCTTATAACTGATTCTGCTTATATTGCAGGTCTGTTACCTCGCTTGGATGGTGCCTACTTGAAACATGTTGACCAACCTCCACTTCCAAAATTGTTTCAGCAGCTTCAAACGTCATTAAAACAGTGTCCTTGTCGATTTTTCGTAATGCATATTAGATCTCACGCAGAGTTACCTGGTTTTATTGCAGAAGGAAATGCACTTGCTGATTATTTTGCATCCTCTGCTGCAGTTGTTGTACCCTCGCTTTATTGACAAACCCGATTTTCCCATGACTTTTTTCATCAGAATGTAAAGCATTTGTATGCCAACTCAAAATTAAAGAATCTCAAGCGAGAGACATCGTGACTGCCTGTCCCAGCTGTCAAAGTATTGCATCTGGAGCACCTGCTCTCAGAGTTAATCCCCAAGGTCTTGTAGCCCTGGAATTGTGGCAATCTGATGTTACACATGTCCCTTCCTTTGGTGTTTTTAAATATGTGCATGTTTCTATTGATACTTCTTCAGGTGCAATATTTGCCTCAGCTCACAAAGGTGAAAAAGCTCATCATGTACGTCACCACTGTCTTTAAGCTTTTGCTTACTCAGGCGTACCACGAAGAATTAAAACTGATAATGGCCCTGCCTGTGTTTCTTCCAGCATCCAGTCTTTCTTGCAAGACTGGGGTGTCCATCACAGTACTAAGATGCCCCATAATCCTAATGGACAAACCATTGTTGAACGTGCCCGTCGCACACTAAAAGACATGCTTCTTAAACAGAAAAAGGGGGATTTAGTAGAACCTGCAGAAGAGTCAGCAAAAGCATTGTATGTTTTGAACTTTCTACAGTGATGTCACAGGAAGGATGTGATGCCACAGAGGAGCTGTGATGTCACAAGGAGGATATGATGTCACAGGGAGGA